AAAAAAAAAAAATCAGGGTTACAAAGGTAAATTGTTGAAAAGGAAGTTTTGCCAGGGATGAATCTATCAATGTCTTACCTGGTAGTGACACAAGAAAATTACCACTTTAATTTGCTAATTGAAAATGAAAGAATTAGTACCACTGAAATACTTGATAACATCCGATACAGGGTAGGGTCAAGGTTACTTTTCCAGCTACTTGGAACATTAAGCTGAAGTTGAGAATAGTAAAAAAGGATACAGGTTTATCTTGGAACTAGCAACCTCACCATATCCATGGAGTTAAGTTGTATTCTGACAACAAAAGGAATCCAATTTTCAGCCTTTGCCCTGTCTTTAATTCAACAGATCTCAGCACAAGATTTTTATTATTTTACATCTCATTTTCCTCAGTCATAAAAGTGAAAAGGGGTGGGCCGGCATTGTAAGAAAAAAAATGTTGCAAATCCATTAGATATTGTTAATACAATTTTGTTTGAAATTTTTGATATTAAAAATCATTCAATTCTTGGTGAATTGGGAGAAACTATCCCAATAAGAAAATAGCTTATTGGGAGAAACTATCACATTAGAAGGTTGATTCTAGAATCTATACTACCTAACTTGGTAAGAAAATTCTGAGCAGAGAAGGTACAATAAAAATTGCTCCAGATCTCATGAAATTTATAAATTCCCTGAAAAATGTAAAATAACCATATGAGGATGCTTCTGCAATCCAGTGTGCTGGCAGAACATCTCTGGGTGGTAATTCACGCTTGACATGAATTCACATTTCAAATTACAGAAGTTGCAAATCACATGACAACTCATTAATATGAGTGTTAGCATGCAAGATTTACATTGTGCAATATTGTGACATATAGGATATATACTCTACCCATATATTTGAGCATAATATATATATTCAGAATATCAAAATAGACTTGTCATATATTTGGCCTTTGTCCAAATTCCTGATTTACAACTCTCAAAAGCCGTGGCATTTCCTAAGTGTTAACAGTGATAAAAGTGTTTTGTTATGTTAATAAAGTGTTTTGAAGGGGAGGCATGGAAGGATGGATTCTGGTTGAAAGAGGAAACAACAAAGAGATTAGTGAATCGGAATTTCGAGCCCTCCCCCACCTCACATCCAGGGATGGGAGGGAGACAGGCTGGAGGTTAGTATCAATGGCCAATGAGCTAATCAATCATGCCTCTGTAATGAACCCCCTATGAAGCCCTAAAAGAGGCACTTCAGAAAGCTTCTCAGCTGATGAACATGTGCAGATTTGGCAGAAAGAGGTCTATCTGCAGAGGGCATGTAAGCTCTGTGCCTTTCTCAGATACCTTATCCTATGTTGCTCTTCTACCTACTTCTTGCTGAGCTACATATTTTGTAATAAATCAGTGTTCTAATGAGCAAATATGTCTCTTGATTTCTGCAAACAGTTCCACTAAATCAATCAAAGCCAAGGAGGGGTCATGGGAAACTCTTGATTTATAGTCAGTTGACCAGAAGCACAGGTAACTGCCTGGGCTTGTAGTGGCATCTGAAGTCGAGGGTATTCTTGAGAGAGGAGCCCTTAGCCTATAAAACCTGATGTTATTTCTAAATAGTGTCAAAGCTGAGATGACTTCTCAAGCACCTATCTCATAATGAGATAGAGAAGAAAAAAATATTATAAGAATGAAGAGACATGGGAAAACCAAAAAAACAGAAGTTTAAACAAAATAGAATACTCATTGTAATATGAGAATACTAAGATTAAGGAGAGACAAAATAGAAAGGCATAACTGCAGAGAAGTGCCCAGAATTTAAGAAAAGATAGTTCTTAAAATCTAAAGCGAGCATATATTACTTCAAGTATTCATAAAAATGAATATATTCATTAATACAAGAAAATGTGCATATGGTAAGAGAAACAGAGGAAACTTCCATAAAATGACTTCAAAGAGTCCATCACAATGACTCCATCACAGTGCCAGTTTCATTTCTCAGTAACAACTAATGTCTTTCTTTTTTGATTTAGTCATCTACATTTAAAGTATTCACTAAAAGCTCTCTAACTGGTTTTATCTACTTTACCCTGGATATAGGAAAGATAAGGACATTAACATGCTTCTTTTAATACTTCTTGCCTCCATGCTCCCAACTGTGTTAGTACAGTAAATGTACTGTGTTGAGTCATAATTTCGTTCTATTTTTGTAAACCAATAATTCTCTCCTGATTGCTCTATGGGTTGCTTCTAGCCACTAAAAGCCAATAATCAACATTTACAACATCATGATTCATACATAGTATGCCCCAAACAACCAATTAGTATGTGATGGCTACATAGTAACTGAAATATTATTCTATGGTGTTAAAACTCTGTATCTTTGTAAAGATACAGAGTTAGGGGCCAATGCGAATTTTCCATGTTCTCTAATTTTCACAAATGGCGCCCTCCTCCTTTCTCTGGTCTCAAGCACCTACTAATGTTTCCAGGATACCAGTCCATCTTTTTGTGAAGGACAGGACTCCCCAAAATATCCAGAATAGGTTTTCCAAGATGTGTCAGTAAGGTTCTTCAGATTGCCAAAAAAACTGTCCTCTTTGACCACATAGAGGAGTGAAAAATTAAGGGGAACTACATATAATTAGGATTTTTACCAGAAATAACCACTTTTCTACTGAGACACTACCTTCTATTGCAGGACAGACATGTAATGACAGAGCACCTCACTTCATTATAAGGCACTCTGTCCCTGTCAAGAGAGCTTCCCTCTTCTCTCCTTAAAGCCCCAGGTTCCCACCTCAATCAATAGCTCAGAATAACACCTTCATTTTGACCATTTACTTTAGAAACTGTATCCATGTTGATTTTCCATATCTATGTAATTAAAGTTGCTCTATGCTCCTAGCAGACTGTCTTAAGTCAATTTGTCAACTAGTTAAAGAACCCAGATGTAGAAGAAATATCATCTTGAGTAACATTTTTCACATAAGGTGTCCATATTCACAAACAGAATTTGAATTGTTTCATGATTTAATAATGTCTTTATTTCATCTTAAAACTGTATTGTTGCAATTCTACATTCAAATTTATTTTCCTTCAGTATGTTGAAGATATATGTCTCTTGATTTCTAGCTTCTACTGATGAGTCTGATTCTCATTCTGAATTTTTAGATTTTTCTTCTTATCATTATTTGAAATTTCTCCAGGACTTGATCAAATGTGAGTAGTTTTTTTCCTCTAGCCCTTCAAAGCTTGATTTCTTATTTAATACATATAATATACCAAATGTTATAGAAATGTAAAATGACATTTGTGTACAACTCTCATTAAACAATAAGTTCAATAGTTTCTGATGGAGGAAAAGAACAGAAAACCTGAAGGAGACATCACAAGGTTAAAACCTGACTTATACAAGGAGGTGGGGACAGAAGGGACTAACATGACCATTAACCCAGTCATAGAAATCAAGACCATTAGTGCCTTGTCACAGGCCTAAGGCCCAAGCAGGTATCACTCCTGCATCAGACTGCTATAGGCAGTGTTGGAAATACAGACCTGAGGGTAAAGATACAGTGATAGGGCCCACTGTGAAATCCTTGGTCCCTTTAGGATTACACATAGTTATCCAAAACCAGCAGCAGCAAACAGGCCACTCCACAAAGGAGTGAATCCTGCCCAAAGGGAAAAGGACTGTATCAGGGCAGTCTCTGCACTGGCTGGGGGCAGCAGTCCCCTGCCTACCTGTGACTATGCAGCTGCTTCTTTCCACTCTCTGTCTTCCTCTGCTGGGCAGTAGCCTCCTGCCTGCCCATGTTGGGGTTTCTCTTCACTGACCTCCCTTAGCAGAGGCCGTTCTCAAGGCCACCCGCCTGTGACCATACAGGCTTCTCTCAGCAAATCTGCCCCTTTGGGGCAGCTCTCTCTGCCCGCTTGTGCCTATGCAAGTGTCCTTTACTCCTCAATTCTTTTCCCTAATAAACTTGCTCTTTAAATATAACTGAGTCTGTCTCATGAAGAAACTCTCCTGGGAACTCGCTGCGTCCTGCTGAAAGGGGAGCTCTGGTGAAACCTTTCCCAGAATGAATCCAAGGACTCCCACTAACTCCAAAAAAATGACATCAGTTTCATGTTGATGCTCAAGTGTG